CATTTCTTTTTCAGCTTCATTCAGAAAAGCAGATCAGAATTCCACTATGCTCTTCTTACCAGAATGCATTGGCTGTCTAAAGGAGGAGCTTTGCAAGTAGTTTATAATCTAAAATAATTTTTTTTTGGTGGTGATTATGAATAACTCTTACTTTACAGGTTTGTTGAAGAATAGTAATTAGCTTTAAAAAATGGCTGAATTTACTAATATTCTTGAACACCTGAGTGAAGCACCACTTGAAAATGTATGCATATAGAGAAAATATAGATTCAAAGCAAAAGTTTGTAGTGGGTGTTTTATTTTGAATCCTTAAGAAAAATATTATTAGAATAACATCTGTAAATGCTTGAGGGAAAATTTCTTTACCTTGTACTTGTCCTTAAACCTTCTCCTTCTCTCACACTCCATATACAATCTGTCAGGAAATGGCATTTGCTTTCTCTTCACATCATACACAGAATCTGAATACTTCTCACCACTTCCAGTATTTCCCTGCTGTAATCCTCCTAAGTCACTGGATTTTTGTATTAGCCTCACAGTAGAAGAAAATAAGAGAAAGCATTAGTTAGTTTTTTGCTAATAAATGTTTTTCTTCTATAGACATAAGAAGTTCAGTGTTCTCTTTTACTATTCATTATTTGTGAAATACTGAACAACTATTATGAGTACAGCTTATGTTGTGGGGGATACATAGTCATTCTTGTTGACTGCCTTGAGGAAATTATCTTTGGAGAGATGACAACAACACAGTAGAATTTCATTGATCACATGAATCAAATGACAAAACCCACAGGAATAAATTACAAGAAGTCAAGGCATTTTATATAGAGAACTCCTGGAAGCTACATGAAATAGTATATTAGAGAAGTTTTCATGGATGAGGATGAAATGGGCTGTCCTCAGACGTCACTGAGGAGTTGTAGCAGGAGGCCAGGTAACATCTGTGCAATTGTACTAAGGTAGGAATGAGCTCAGTGTTTTCCAAGAGGAAGTGTACCAGTTGGACTGAATAACAGGGAGCAGGTTAATTTGAGGTTAGTTGGGGATGAGACGACAAAGTGGGTTTACATTATGGGAGTCTGTTGGTAGGCACTGGAGCCAGAGTTGGGGACATGACTGGTTCTGTTTTGAGAATCCTGAGTTGGGGCTGGAGATGGGGGAATGAAACTAGTCAATTATATTGGTAAGAAATCATAAGTGGAGGTTAGAATATGGTTTCAGAGAGCATGATAGTTGTAGTTAGGCGGCCAAATGTTCTGGTTTGCCCAGGACTGTACTTGCTTTAGCACTGAAAGCCGTTCCTGGGACACTCCTCAGTCACAGGTGAAGCGGATGGTTCGTCACTTTAGGTATTGTTTAAATAAATGATTGTTATCAGAGGTCCAAACCTGAGTAACCCATCAGCATGTTAACAAGTTAACAAGATGACAAGAAATCCACAGCATTTCAGAGCTCTGGTAGACATGCAGTGGAGGTGAATTATGTTTTGGCTGAGAGCAATTTAGTCAAATGAAATTTAGTCAAAAGCAGCATTGTCAAATAAATTTCATTTATGTGACAATTTGATTGAAACAAATTTTGGAAAAAATGAATAGCTACTGGCTTTCAACTTTTGTTTAATAATAGTAATAGCAGCTCCGTTCATGAATGGTTACCATGTGCCGAGCACCTAGCTAGATTTTACAAATATTTTCAACTTTAATCATCACATCTGGCTTGTGAGATAGGCACTATTTTCTCAATTTGCAGATGAGGAAACTCGTGGTTTGAGAGATTATTATGAATAAGATTACACAGCTAATTAATCATAGAGAGAGACTTTGAACTCTGGCCACCCCAAAATTGTGCTCTTAGTCACCATGCAATACTGCTTCCTGGTATTATCAAGGAAATGGGCTTGTTTATTATTTATTGGCTTCTTTTACTACAAAAGTAATACTTGTTAATTTTAGAAAAATTGTGACATGTAGCCTGGCAGAGAAAGACTGTGCAGAAGATTTGTAATTCCTTCTCTTAGAAACAATCTCCAGTAGCACATCTGTTGATACTGTTTTCTTTGTGTGGCACACTAGTGTGTGTGTGTGTGGGGGGGGGTATGTATATGTGTGTATTTTTTTCTATAAAAGTGACATTTTGAATCTGTTGAAATTAGTTGTTAGGCATTTAATATTTTCTACCTGATATTGTAGGTCATTTATGCTGTTGCAGCTTTTTGAAACTACGAAGACCTTCCAGTAGAAATAATCATCCCAAAATGAAATATGTAGAGAAAATAAAATGAAATTAGCCTAAAAACCCTCCCAAATTCATAATAATGGACAGTAATGCAGGAGATGAATAGCAATTTAAGATCACTCACTCTGTGTAGTATCCTGATTACTAGTACAGTGAATACCAGTGGCTGAGGAATGTTTCTTTTGATCTGACTATGTTGTTGATCAGCTTTCTTTCATCTAAAGCATTTTCAGCAAAATCACCGGGAACCAGAGACAGGAACCTCAGCCCACAGGCAGAGTCCAGGAATGAAGCTAATCCCTAAAACATAAATGCAGGGAGTGAGTCTCTTACAGAGGAGTTGTGTTGAGGGGAGTAAGTCACAAACCCAATGGCCAGTAAGGATCTGTAATAAGGAGAAGTGCATTTTAGGAAAAAAGTATTAGAACAGTTATCAAAGCTGGAGCATTGAGGGCATAGCCAGGCTAATGACAAAAGGGCTGCTGACCCCCAGGCATTGGGTCAACTAGCTTTAAACCCTTCTTGCCAAAAGGCAGGTGAATGGCCCCAGAGAGCTCCAGAGAGAGATTAGGAATCTGGCAGGTACTGACAGTTGGAGGTTTTGTAGAATAAAAGAGTTTTGGGTGATTAAATCAGTGAATTGTAGGCAAGGAAGCAATTTAAGAGGATACATCTTAAAATTTTGTGATAGCAAATGGAAAAGGACTGTTGGTCTGGGCAGTGGCAGGAATTACATGCAGTAAGATACCTAGATATCTCCATTAAATAGATAGACTGCAATAATACCTATTATGACATTCCTCTTCCTTTCACTTCTCTGGCATTCAGACAAAACATGTAGTTGGTCCTTTGAACCTGTAATACTGCCATTATTTTTATTAAATTGAAGTTTTAACTGGGATACTAATTTTTTCTTTTATTCCAGAGCCCCTAAATAGGCGTGCTGTGTCTTATGGTTGTAGTTTATGTTATTATGTTTCAAAATTAAAAATTTTTATCTTTTCTTGGTGCTATGAAGGCTACCACAAAATTAATGGCTAATATGCTGGGAAGATGTTTCAATTAACTTTCTTGGCTGTTGATCAGATAAGCACTAAGATTTATGATTATATTCTGAAATCTTCATTAGGTGAGTGTTGCTATGGGTAACTCTTTTTAGCAAGTAATTTCAAACCCTGGAAAATATTGCTTCTGAGTTGAATTAAAAAGAGACATCTGTCTGACTGAGTGTCTACATGGCTTTTTGTTTGTTTTTGTTGCACTTATAGTAACAGTTGTATATAAGTTAATTGTGTTCTTAATTACAAAATAACTTTTCATGTTTCCAGAGGTATGAAATTCAAGAAACTTCTAAGGATACTTTAAATATTATAAGAACTTCCTTCAATTAACTGTAGCTAATAGTTAAATTTGTTTCAGTGCTTTGAAGTTTTGAGTCCAGCCTCCCTTGCATATATTAATGACTATGATTGTCATTTCTGTCTCTTCCATGGAATTTTTTAATATACATTGTTTTAAAAATTACAAAATAATCTTGTTAAAAAAATTAACACAGTATTGAATATAGACTACCCATTCTCTAAGTCAGAAAATGATACCTGCATAGCAGTTTGATGCATATTTTTCCAATTTTTCATGAGAGTTCAGTTTGTGTATCCATCCATCTATCCATATATGCATCCATTACACATTCCTCTTCCTCCTCTCCTCTCCTCTCTCCCACTCTTGCCTATTTCCCCTCCTCCTCTGTCTCATCTCCTCCTTAAATTAAGTGCTGCAGTATTGCCAAAGGAGAGAAGGTTTTGTTCTGTGTTCTGTGCCTTACTGACTTTCACTCCTGGGTGGAGGTCCTGTCTGTGTGCTTTCCTCCCCTTGCCCACAACAAGGGTCAATGAATTCAGGCTGTGCTTTGCTTTTGCTTCTCTCTGTCCTCAGCAGCCAAAGTAGAAGCCCTCCCAGAACAAACCCTCAACTGTAAAAGGCCACAATTCTGGGTGTTTCTTCTGGGGACAGGCAGTCAAGCGGCCCCAGTCCTAGCTTCCCTGGTGATTGGCCTCAGGCCCAGAGGGGCTTTTTGTACCAATTGATTCCAAGTGTAAAGTTTCTCTGAGGTTTCTATGGAAAGAAGATTTCTCTTTGCAGTGTTCTTTATCTGTGTTATGGACTAAGATTTCTTCTGCATTAGTTGCCTATCATTTCAATCCTATCTGATTTCTGTCTTCTAGAATGTTCTAAAAAATTTAGGCATGTTGATGCTGGAACTTGTTTTCTCCCCTCCTTTGTCATTTTAGTGGGATTTAGGTATAGTCAGGTTTCTTTTGCAGCTACTCTGGTTTGTGTTGTAATTTGAAGGTTATTGTTTTCTTCCAGTTTTGCATTTACAGAAATAACACTACTATTCAACAAACCTCTTTTCTGCTGCATTTATGGGCATCTACAGGGTCTTATTGCATTAGGCTGGTTAATTATACAAAATTCACTTTAAGAAATTTAGGTATCTTTATTTCACTTGCTATGTATAAATGTCACTATTTATAATATATATTTGTATTTTATTTTCCAGGTGACTGAATATTGTCAGTTTCCTTTTCCAGTGTCCAGATCAATTGGAGATATAAAAAAGTAATAGTAATTTTTTATGGGCACATGATACTCAGTGTATCTTAAAGTGATTCCTTAATTACTATTAGAAACAATCGTTCAGCATTTTTTGTTACTGAGATATATTTGTCATGCAACAGCATGTTTTTAAAATTTTGTCTCAGGAAGGAGAAAACATTTTCTATTTGGCAATTGAAGATATAGAAACAGATACAGAGCTTCTGATTGGCTACCTGGACAGTGACATGGAGGCTGATGAGGAAGAACAGCAAATTATGACAATGATCAAAGAAGGGGAAGTTAAAAATTCTAAAGGAAAGTCAGCAGCTGGCAGAAAAGGATTACCTCTAAATGGTGAGCTGAGAGAATGAAAGTTGTAGAGGAAATATAGTTTGAACTGTGGCCGAGTTATATGCATTATAATAGGATGTTCTCAAAATAAAGTGAGTTTTTATCAAAACTGCTCTCAGTGGGTATCCAGCTATCTTAGTTTAGCAGCACAACAGTGCTGAGTGTGGGTGGAAGACGTGCGCTGTGGTACAGCGCAGGTCAGCTGCAGCCTCCCACTCTCACTGGCTAATAGTGAGGACTTTTGTCCTCTAATTTTTTGAGACTTTCTTTCTCATCAGCACGTGGGGAATGGCGGCTAGAGTTGCGCAGAGGGTCTTGCTGGATCCTATGGGATTATTCATGGGCCTTCCTCTTGTTTGTGGTCTGCTTAGCATCTGGGGCATCTGGAAATCTCTTTTTCTCTGGAGAGGCCTGTAGGATTGCTGTGTTTTTCTAACTGGGTAACCAAAAATGTACGATGAATATACATCAGACCTGCTTAACTCCAGGAGATAGATGTTATTTGTTAGTCAGAATCTGCTGGGGAATAAGCAATTATTATTGGGGCTTGTTTCTATTATGTTTTCCTCCTCATGGGGTTGGAGGGAAATATGAATGATGTTATAGGTGTTCCCATTTTGTAAAACTGATACTTACTATAGAGTATTTTGTTTTCCAAAGCCACTTCAGAAGTAACACTGATTGCTTTAGTCACCATGGTAGTAATGTCTTTATGTGAATTTTTTATTCTAACTGTATGCTGTTGGCTGAGAAAATATGAGCATTCCCAGCATTGTCAGCTGATGCTTTGGTTTTTAAGTTTTAGTTGGGTTATGTAAGGGGAAGGTGAGGGCAAGCTGTTTTGTCTTTCAAATTATGCTGTTTGGAATGTCAGATTTTGGGTAATGGAAATTATCTCCATATTATTCTGTATTTTCTTTGTTCTTGAACATATATTTTTCAACATCATCCCCAGGGCACATTATTACTGTGTCCACTATTTTTTTATTAGCATAACAATTTATTAGAAGACAAATGAAATGATACTTCCAGACCTCAACACATAGTATCTTATAATGAAGAACACAAACATATCCCTCCAGAAGAAAAGGATCTGCTATTCACCAAGTCCCTCTCCTGCAATAGTTATGTCCATTATTTTATCTTAAAAATAAGTCTGCTGCTTATCTATTACCATCCTAGTTGTTCTTAAGTTAACAAATAGCAATTTCCATTATTTTTGTTAAAAGAATCAGCAGAAACATAAACAGATTTTTGAAACATATCACTCAGTTGCATATATTGTGTTTGTTTTATTTTAGAATTCAATTTTGTTTATAAAAGCAAAAAATACTCCCAAAAAGCAAAAAACAAAAAGCACCAAAAACCAAAACAACCAAATAACCAGCAAAAGAAACAAAGAATCCATTCAAACAGTGGGGAGTTTGGTTAAATCAAGTTATGGCACCTTAAGTTTAACAAAAATATTGACTTGAGATAATGTTAAATGGATAAAAAGCAACATATGAAATTGCATAAAAGATATGATCCTAAATGTAGCTATTAGACTGTGCATAAAATGTGAATGCAGAAGAGACAGATCAGGGTTGTCTCCATTATGGAATTGCTAATGGTTTCTATTTTCTTCGTATTTTCTGCATTTTCTAAATGTATTTTTATGTGATAATCAGACAAAATAGGTAATCCAAATTACGCACTTTGAGAAATTTGGGTAGAGCTGTGACAAGGAGCCAGAAAGCCAGCAGAGCTTCATTAATCCTGCTGTAACAAATGCTGCTTTTATGACCTTGGTCTTTTTTCACGTATATGTGAGCTTCTGCTTGGTAATTCAGTGTAGTTCACTTTGCTTGGATTTTTCTCTTCATAGGATAAAAGTGAGCTCAGGATGCCCTGTTTCAGGAAAAACTTTTGATTTGCAATTCAACATTTATAATAACTTTCATGTGAAAAGTTAACAAAATAGGGTAAATTAAAAAGTTGGTTTGGTATTAATTTGATGAAATACAAGTAAAATGGTGAAACGGTTTTAAAAATGTGTTTCTCTCTAGTTACTTTTCCTATTACTTTTTATGGGCGGCAATATTAGTTCTTCTAGAGATAATAAGAATTTACTAAGCTGATGCCATTAAACAATTAATCTTGATTTTAAAAGGGGGGCAAAACTGAGTGGTTCTTGGCTTTTAATTTTTGCCTTATAAATCTGTTTCCCTGAAAATGTGCAGATTGCTTTGGCTGTAAAGAGGACTATGCTTGTGCCCACTGTGAGTCGAGTTTTGCCAGTGAGGAAATTCTTGCTGAGCATCTTCAGACATTGCACCAGAAACCCACAGCGGAGAAAGAATTTAAATGCAAGAACTGCGGGAAGAAATTCCCAGTTAAGCAGGCTTTGCAAAGACAGTGCGTACATTAAAAAATATCTTTAAAATTCTATGAGGACACTTTTGTTTATTCCATTTGGTTTATCTTACAGTTTCTAATTTGTGTGTGTGTGTGTGTGTGTGTGTGTGTGTGTGTGTGTGTGT